TTGTCCCTAAATTCTGCGAACCAGTGGTTCTCAAACTGGGTTAAGACACCACTTCTCCAAACTCCCCTCCTCCTACCCCCCCCCCCCTCGTGGGTCATGACCCTGTTTTTATGGGGTTGTCAGGACTGGTGTTAGACTTGCTGGGGCTTGAGGATGAAGTCAAAACCCTGCTGCCCAGGGCTCGGGTTAAGCACCCCTGACCTGGGCTGAAGCATATTGTACAGAAGGCTGAAACTTTTGAAGATTGACAATTTGTATGGTTTTATTACAGTTCTGCCACAACAACAAGAAAGCTCAGAGATACCTTCTTCATGGCTTGGAGTGTGTGGTAGCCATGCATCAATCTCAGCTTATTTCTAAAATTCCGCATATCCTGAAGGAAATGTATGATGCAGATCTTCTGGAAGAAGAGGTCATCCTTAGCTGGGCAGAAAAGGTACTTGGCTAGTGTTGCTAGTACGGTGTCCACCTAATATCTGTTTCTGGGGCCAGGGGGAGGCATGGCATGATGTGATCTGCTTCATACAGTGTTAAAGTACAATGCAGGCCTTCTGAAACTGATGAAGGTGACTTAACCTCTCTAGTGCACAAGTTGCTACAAGACTGAAAAAAGTTACATATTAGCAAGGAGAGATGGGTTCGATAAGGACTCCTCAGCAACTCAAAGCCAAGCCACCTTGAATAAAACTCTTCCTTTTCTTGTAGGCCTCTAAGAAATATGTCTCAAAAGAGCTTGCTAAAGAAATCCGCATCAAAGCAGAACCCTTTATCAAATGGCTGAAGGAAGCTGAGGAGGAGTCCTCTGGTAATGAAGAAGAGGACGAAGATGAAAATATTGAGGTAGGAGGGCTGGTTTGTGTCTGTCCGTTGTTTCTCTCCTCCTTTTCTTCTCCTTCCCCCCCCCCCCTTGAATTCTCCCTGGGCCTGCATGCTTAAGAAGCAACGAGCTTTTCCTTGTAAGGCATATGGCTAAAACTCTTTGCCTTCTGTGCTTTCTCCCCCAGTCCATATAATGCAGTCATCCTTTCCCTCTGTACACCCTTGGATTCTTCCACAGGCTCCCGTCTTCCCTTAATATAAAGACAGGATAAAAACTTTGCCAGCTAGGACAATGCAGATTTTTTTTTTTCCATTTTAAGCTTTCAAGAGTCTAAATTGTTACTTGGTGGTCAACACAGGGTGTCCAGTAGTGTCAGCCTTTTTAACATAAGGCGCTCTAGTACAAGCAATAAAAGCTAAATTTAAAGAGTGAACTGTCTAGCCTCTGAGGATGCAAACTGTTAATATCTGGTGCTGCCATTACAAAAAACAGGTAAAACTTTAAGACCATTCTTCTAAAGCTCCTTGCAAATCAAACTTAGGGAGAAATGCATGTTGGTAAGACAAACTACCTAATTGAGTAATGGAGGTGTGGTGACTGGTAGAACCAAACATTTGGAATATCTTTTAGAAGATGACTCCCCACACGGTGCTTTGACCATGGTTTCAGACATGCAACAAAGACTGCAGACTCTCTAAAATGAATTACAGGTCTGTTGCATCTTATGTGCATTTAACATGCGCGATTTCAGCTTTACTCAGCAAAAACACAAAGAAAAATAACAATTTTAATACTGTACTTATAGTGTGGGCGATTCTGCCCGCCATTCAACTCAATGTAATTTTGACTACATGTGGTTTTCGCTTTACATGCTAACCTTTACGGAATCCCCATGTAAGATGACTCGCCTGTATCTCATACAGGCTGTGTACATCTAGCTTATACCTTAGCTGAACTTGCACCATTGTTAAGTAGGTGGAGGGTGTCAATGTTATTATGGAAGATAACATCAATGGATGTCCTTAAACACTAAATATCTTGTCTCTTCAGGTGGTGTATTCCAAGACTGCCAGTGTACCTAAAGTTGAAACTGTGAAGCCTGTAAACAAGAAAGATGATGACATTGATATCGATGCCATTTAAAAGTGATGCAATCTAGCTTCCAGTGTAATACTGCAAACTGCTCTGCATTTTTCTTCCAGAAGTGCAACATGTACATGCACAAGCTGAAATGGCTTAACATCATGCTCAAATGTCTTTTACTGTGACTGGTCTTGTTTAACTATAAGCTGAACACCAAGGAGTCATATGCATCAGTGAACTGATCTAGTTTGTTAATGGCATGTTTCCTTTTAAAAAGTTGTGTTTGGACACACATACTTGGAACACATTTATACAGCTGTGGGAATAAAGGATTTGGTTTTGGTCAACCTAAGAGTCAGAGCCATCACTAAACAGCTATGGCCAGCTTGAAGTGAGTCTGGCTTAACATGCGTCTATTTGCTAGCAATTTGGCATGGAGAGCAATGGTATTCCACTCCTGCCTAGGAGGTAACAGAAAGCTGCTGTGAGGAAATACTGGTCCCTGGTGGAGATTCCGATATGCAATTTTTCTAAACTTTTGAATCTCCAGCAAGCTCAAGGAGCACCAAGAGCCACTAGTGACTAGGTCTCAATTGCTAGACAAAGCTAGGCTAGCATTCATACTATCATAGGCCTAAGACTTGTAAAAAGGTATCCCCCTCCATCTGGTGTCTGTATTTGGCCAACAGATGCTTCTCAGGTGCAACTGCTTCAGACTGCCTTTGATAAGCAGCTCTAAAATTGCAAGAGGAAGATCAAGACTTGCTCCAAAAGTCTCCTTTCTTCCATTGTAGTGTCCATAGTTGATTGTAAGCGATCACATTTATTTTGAGTGAGTGGTTCTTACTACCCCTGTGATAAAACAACCAAATCAAAATTTGATGGAAGTAGAAGAAACACATCTAAATTCCTACTCTAGCTGTGATTCAAATGTCTCTATTGCTCTTGGCAAAAAGGACTGATTTACTTAGCAAGTTAAAAATTAACTGAGGGAGAACTGGTTAGTGAAGGGTTGAAAATAACTTGAAATTGGGTGTGAGGAAAGGGGTGGTCAGCAAAACCAACTCAGCCTAGTCTTTATACTCTGAAGCAAAAATTATACAGTAACTTTTTATTCCTTTCTCTAAACATATCCACCCTCTGCTCTGGCAAACGTCAACGTTGGTCTCAAACAAAAGGCCAAAAGTCAACAAAAGCAGCTTTCTTAAGCCGGGCAAACAGTGGTTTTCAACATGTCATCTGTAAACTAACATGTAAGGGATCTGTGAAAAGTGACCATGGAAATAAAGTTTCAGATGCTAGAGCCGGCATTGTTTTTTCTGATGTCAAAAGTATGTGAATACCCCCACCTACAGCTACCACCTCAGTGTTCGTCTTTGTAGAAGCCTACACCTTTAGTACCCTTTCTCATGCTGTGTCAAATGCAGAGCTGAGCATCTTCAGTATTATTGAACTCTAGACTCAAGTTTTCAGTCTAAAACTATGACCAGCATGAATGTCCAAAGAAGTTCACACCCCCATTTGAAATTGTGTAGGGGTCTGTGAGTGAAAGGCTGAAAACCTTTTTCTGGTTTAAATCAAATCCACCTCTCACAGGTGGGGGGGGTTTTCCTACTATCAAAGGATACGTGTAGACTACATCTATACATAGTTGTTTCACATCTTTGTGTCTTAGCTTTTGTGTAGAACAAAGTTAAAGGTGCAAATCTAAAGCTATTGATAATGAGATTTAAAAAGCTCTGACCCCTTTGGGTGCATTCTACAGCTGATCCTTCAAGGATAGGGGTGGACCAAAGTTCCACTTAATGCTGTTGGAAGTTAGGGGGAAAAGTCTTGCTCTCTCTTTCCACACGAGTTATCCTGAGTCAAGAAAAGTTACTCAAGAGACCAGAGGGAGGATGTATCTGCCTAACATCCATTTTTCCCAATATATATATTTATGATGCAGCAGTAAACTGCACTGGCTTATGGAGCTAATGTCAAGAATGTTCTAGCTCTAAGTGGAAATGCTAGTGTTTACAAAGTTTTGTCTGTGTTGTGTGTGAAAATACCCCCCTTCTCTCCCCCACCATTGCTGTGCCTACATTACCCCCACAGTACATGCAGCTATTTCATCAGAAGATGCTGCTGGCTAATAATGGGGAGGTGGTGTCACTGTAATTGGAAACGGTGTTGGCTTATGCCAGGGCTAATCAATTATCTTTTGTTGAGGTCTAAATTTCTTGGTCAAGGGCCAGACCCCAGAGAAACACTCTTCACACTGCAATAATTAAAAAGACTGCACAGTCTGTTCAAAAGCAGCTAGTAGGTAGTCCAGATTTGACCAGCAATCTGGACTATCCCTGGTCTATGCTATGTCTACAGCGGTGCTTCCCAAACTTTAATAACCTGTGAACCCCTTTCACTGAAATGTCAAGTCTCACAAACCCCCTCCTAAAAATGAATGTTTCCAGGGATTTTCTCCTTTACCTGAGTATAAATTATAAAAGCAGTGATCTTGGAAATATAAAATGTTTTTATGACATGCTTATTACACACAATTATTTATGATTATAGTATTTTTATTACATTATGAAAACAGCAACACTCTTCCAAAATCTCACTTTCATACTTTGTATCACTTTGAATAAGCCTGTTATAAGACAAGGCTCCTATGTTTCATCAAGGAGCATCAAATGTGAAACAGCAGGAAGGTATTTAAGAAGCCAACTCAAATCATTCCTCCTTCACAAGCATTCAGGTCTTGAGCAGTCCAGGCAAACAATGCACGTTACAACAAAGCTTAAACATGTTCTTTATCATTTTAAAAACAATACTAGCTGCCTATTTAATTTTAAAAACAGCAAAAAAAAATCCACCTCATTTTCCATTTCTTATAAGGAGTTTTGAAGTTTAAATCTCTTCAGTGTGATAGATATGCTTGCTTTGATCTGCTTAGCTGCTGGGCCCCTGCTGTCCGGGGTCCCTAGTGACAGCTCTGTCCGCCATTAGGGATTTTTTTCCTGAGAACCCCCTGTAACATTTCACAAACCCCAGTTTGGGAACCACTGGTCTACAGTGAAGAGGGATTTTGCTGGTATAGCTTTTTGGGCAGAGCCTATGTAGTATAGACTAGCCCTAATACATATAGCTCTTCAGATATATAGATGTCTCACCATTATTGGGGTTCTTAGCACCTGTTATGTATGTAGACAGGCTATAAAAAATTCTACTTGCTTTGAAATGGAGAAAAGTCTAGATTTTAAATCTCTAGTTTTGGTTTTAATATAATGTGTGGCTGAGATTTGCAGGGATGCCCTCAATGCTGGATCTTCCCTGATTTTGAGAGAGTTTTTCATACTGAAGTAGATTTTACCTTCCCCTGCATTTGAGACTCCATGGCTATCTCCACCTGGAGTAATTCCAAATTTGAGATACCCTGTCTCTCCCCACCAAGGCTCATGCCCCAGAATACCACTGTCCCAATTTCAGACGCACATGCATACACACAAGCATCTTCCCTCTGAGGTATCAATCCCTACTATCTGTTAAGCATTTAAGTGGTTTCATTCACCATAAGCTACTTCCTAGCACAGAAACCAAATTCTGAAGCTATGTTAATTTGTTGGAATTCCATGAAATATCCTTCATTCCAATGAGCACACAACTATGGATCATATTCAGAGATACTCATGCAGTAGCAAACAGGTTACATTTTGGTATTTCAGAAAAATGTCAAATGGCTGCACAATCACAGAGTATTGCATGCAATGACTGGGGCAGCTCAGATCTCTCAGAGCCATTGTTTCAGGTTGTTCATGGACTCAGATGAATAAGTTTACATTGGTTTGAAAGAAACTACACCATCTGCTCAAGAAACTCCCTACTATAGCACAGGAACAAATCTACACGGACACATCCCTAGAGCCCCGACCACAGGAATTCTATCTGCTACCCAAGATCCATAAACCTGGAAACCCTGGATGCCCTATCATCTTAGGCATTGGCACTCTTACAGCAAGATTATATGGCTATTTAGACTCTCTCCTCAGGGCCTACGCTACCAGCACTCCTAGTTATCTTCGAGACAACATCGACTTCCTGAGGAAACTACAATGCATTGGTGATTTTCCTGAAAACACCATCCTGGCCACCAAGAATGTAGAAGCTCTTTACACCAATATTCCACATGGACTACAAGCTGTCAAGAACAGTATCCCTGATGAGGCCACAGCACACCTAGTGGCTGAGCTTTGTGACTTTGTCTTCACCCACAACCATTTCAGATTTAGGGACAACTTATACCTTCAAGTCAGCGGCACTGCTATGGGTACCCGCATGGCCCCACAGTATGCCAACATTTTTATGGCTGACTTAGAACAATGCTTCCTCAGCTCTCGTCCCCTAGATCCCCTCCTCTACTTGCGCTACACTGATGACATCTTCATCATATGGACCCACAGGAAGGCAGTCCTTGAATTTCACCTGGATTTCAACAATTTCCACCCCGCCTTAACCTCAGCCTGGATCAGTCCACACAAGAGATCCACTTCCTGGACACTATAGTGCAAATAAGTGATGGTCACATAAACACCACCCTATACCGGAAACCTACTAACCGCTATACATACCTACATGCCTGCAGCTTCCATCCAAGACACATCACACGATCCATTGTCTACAGCCAAACCCTAAGATACAACCGCATTTGCTCCAATCCCTCAGACAGAGACAAACACCTACAAGATCTTTATCAAGCATTCTTAAAACTACAATACCCACATGGAGAAGTGAGGAAACAGATTGACAGAGCGAGGCGGGTACCCAGAAGTCACCTACTACAGGACAGGCCCAACAAGGAAAATAACATCACTGGCCATCACATACAGCTCCCAGCTAAAACCTCTCCAGCACATCATCAACAATCTGCAACCTAGCCTAGAAAATGATCCCTCACTCTCACAGACCTTGGGAGCCAGACCAGTCATCACTTACAGACAGGCCCCCAACCAGAAGCAGATACTAGCAACTACACACCACAGAAACACTAACCCAGTAACCAGTCCCTGTAACAAACCTCATTGCCTACTCTGTCCCCATATCTACTCTAGCGACACCATCAGAAGACCCAACCACATCAGCCACACCATCAGGGACTCATTCACCTGTACATCCACTAATGTGATATATGCCATCATGTGCCAGCAATGCTCCTCTGCCATGTACATTGGCCAAACCGGACAGTCTCTACATAAAAGAATAAATGGACACAAATTGGACATCAGGAATAGTGACATATAAAAGCTAGTAGGAGAACACTTCAGTCTCCCTGGACATTCTATAACAGATTAAAAGTAGCCATACTTGA